GTGAGGATTATGATCACTTATAATCGTGATAACTTTTACATTTACCCTAACCCTCTTGATAGAATCTTCGCTTTACATTTACCCTGAACTGCAAACTATCATATAAACGAGTTTTGATTAAAATCTTCTAGCTCAATCATAAACTTTAGTTTCCGGCAAATGTATACAAATCGCGATATTTTGCAGTGTCATGATGTTCCGTGCATTTTATGCTTCCGCCTCCTGAAGCCAAGCCAGATGCTGACGGTGCGCTGACGAAATGTATTGGCTCTTTGATTGAGGCTTAAGTTGCGATTCTCAGATATCTTTCTTCGATGATGGTTCTTTAGTTGATGCACATTTTTACTGATAAGAATATGCTCTTTTTCCTTGATTAAATGAAATAAACTGCTCTAACGGGCTCCGAGATGTAGTCTCTACATCTTAGCCACTGCTAGCCTTGGGCGGGGCTTCTCGTTCGCCGTATTTATACAAATGACGCAACCCAGTAGCCATGGCAACGTTGTTTTATGCCAAATTCAGGTTTAAATGAGGGTGTGCAACTTTCATTATGAGCTGTTTCAAAGATGACTTTGATCATATCCTCTTGCATCCTCATGTTAACCCGGTTGAAACTGTATCCTGGATTCATTGATGATGGACTGTTTTGATAATGCTACATCTTGCGGTAGGTTAGATGAGGAAGCAAATTTCAATTGTAAAAGATATGCTTTTTTATGTATCTTTTGTGGCTGATATGTTCGTCAATTAATCAAATACCATATTAGCACCACTGACGCATCTTGATGACCCTCGGCGATTTCGGATAGTCGCGAGTGACCGGAAATTGGAAGTTGATCTGCTCATCAAGGTTCAAATGGTTAACTTGATCCTGTTGATGCATTTCCAATTGCCGTAAATGCCAAAAGTTCACAATCTGTCTGCAGACGATATTGGATTATTTCTATGCAAAGCGAAAAGTTTTGCGCCAGCAAAGACAAAGCAGTCATGTTAGGCTTAGAGCTCAGGAGTGTGGGTTAACATTTTGCTTGTGCCGCCTTCTCAAATGCATGTTCCTAAAGGTTGAGTTATCGCGGCCAAGTTATTGAAACTGCCAAGAAATAGATTGCCTAGCAGACAGAACCTTTCATTCTTAAACTCTTATGTCACGAGGAAGGAGGAAGATAAAAGAGCTGATAACAAGCTGTGCCGATATCGAAGAACAATTAAAGCTCAAATACTCCTTACCCACCAGGTGAAAGAAGAGAGATCTCATCACCACTTTAGCTATAGACAAAGCATCAGATGTAAACGGAAGGAAACTGGTGAATGAAGCCAAATTAAGTCAGGCAGGATTCCAGTGAAATAGGTTTGCAAAGGGAATTATGACTAGAACCTATGCTATAAGTAGTATAGGTCTGCTGCAGGGCTGCGATAGCATAAACCGTAGAAGCTTTGAAGGGAAGCAAAGAAGACTATACACGAAAGGATAATATCGTCGACTAGTGACGTGCAAAACCCATTTTCGCATCCAGACTTAGGGTGTACTGAGACGAGAACGAGTCTTGTTGTGATTAAAATGCTATTTTGCATGCAAGACTAAGTCAAAATTCCAGCTCATTTCGTTGTGGAAAATTAAACTGTCAGACTCCACAGCGTCTTAAAAGAAATGGATTTATTCGAGTTAACGTGGGGCTACGGAATCAGGTTCCATTTTGCCAGTGATAGTGAGAAAGTCAAACTTATTTTACCTTACGGTATAGATAATCTGGTATCATAGCTTAATAAAAAAAATCAAAATGGAGTGGTTTCTTTCATTCTACTCACTAAGTCATTAGTAGTATTTTTGAATTTAATAATAAAAATGCTTTGGCTACATTGATACCAATTTCTGAGTGAATATAGATTGATACATTCGAAGGCAGATTCGAGTTAGAGCAACGGTGCCAGTTAGGCTAAGCATGTAAATTTGGCTTCAAAATTCACATCTGTTCTGTGTTGAGTGGTAACCCATTCTGTGTACCAAAGTGATAATGTGTTGTCACATGAGACGCAGGATTCGGTTTCAAGTCCCGTGCTACGGAATCAGGTTGTATTTTGCCAGGGATAGTGAGAAAGGCAAACTTATTTTACCTTACGGTATAGATAATCTGGTATCATAGCTTTGGAAACAGCGTCAGAATGAACCTTCCAGTAAAGCCAATCGACAGCTGGCCAAGAGGAATCCGTTGTCGTCTCTTGGTGAAACCGACCTTCGAATCTCTTCACCCAACCCTTCTACTCGAAATGGAAGTAAGTTCAACCATTATGAAACAAGAGATTCCTCGAAACCCAGCTTTTCTTCGTATACATCGAATAGAGCTGGATAGTCTTCTTGACATTTTGTAAGGATCAGTTTCGGCCCTGATGACGTCCCTCACATGATGGCCCTGCAATGTTGTATCAAGCCCAACAACGTTGAATAACAACAAGATGCAGTCAAAGTCTTGCAGTGAAATCAACCGACGCATTTCTTCAAAGTGTATCTTCATTCGAAAGGAAAGTATCCACAACACCAACGTATCCATGGGTCCTGAATCCTGAGCTACCCGCTTGGAGGAGCAGGAATTTGTGACTGCAATCGTGGGGACACTGTTCGTAGGTACCAAGTGGCCCACTTTTGAGGCTAGTTCTAACATCATAGATGGGGTAAAGTGTATTTGGACGAAGTTTACCGCGAAGTCGGGTTTGAATGAGAAAGCAATCTTCAAAGACAAGACAAGGAAGAAATTGTCCGATGGGAATCCTGTCACCAAATGTCTTCTGGGTCGACTGAGAACTCTACCCATCCTCCTAACTCATAATCGCTACACAATCCCATGCATGCTTCCGGGTGGGTTGCAAAACTATTATTTGACGAGGTCTCGAAATGTCGTTCGAGAAGGTCATGCAAATGGCTATTGACTGACGATCTTTAAAATGAGCGATTGCATGTTAGCAATTGCCTATTTTCGTGTCATTTACAGAAGCTTGTCGTCGGAAGCAAAGATGGTATTTGCTTCGGCAGTCGTCATCCTTTTCAATGATGTGTTTATGATAGTGTTTATGGCATTCACTGCCAGGATGAAGTGTGTTCTATTGCCATTTATAGACGGTCTATCTTTTAGCGCCATTTCAGCGACAATCAGTAGTGATGGGCTAAGCATGTCGAGTCGTAATATTTTTGAGTAGATCTTCTTTCTATCCTTTTGAGGTCAACTAGCCACAATTAAATGCATGAAAGGCCTAATTTTTCCTGAAATTACACTTTACAATATAGCAAACACATTGTTCCGTCATGGCCATAGTGCGTTGCATGGCATGCAAGAATTGCAATGTACAGCAGGACAGCTCACTCAATTGTTATGGGGAATAATTTTGTCGATAGACAACCGTGATTTTACATTTCAAATGGATGCTCTAATGAGTTACTAATTAGTAGCAAGCTTGACTCACTGTTGCTGTTGGTGGTGGTGGTGGTGAAATGAACAAGTTTTGTTTAGGTTTTGACTGAGTCGTAATTTATTTTTAACATTTCGCTACTACCAGTAAATCAGTAGTATGAGATGTATTCACCCAATTTCGTTAAAGGTGATGAACAAATGGTAGTAGAATTTTCCCACAATGATATGAGTAGAGCTGACGTTTCGATTAAATTTTACATAGCCTTGTTCTACAAAAAGTTGTTCTAATCATCTTAAACGAAATTGGGTGAATACAGCTCATATTACTGATTTAATCAAATGCGGAAAATAAAGTAACGTAGTCGATTGTTGTAGCAAATAAACGTTTGCTTCATCGACAATCTCACCAAAGAATGTGATATGACAAAACGCCTGACCTTCCACGAAATTCACATTTGCCCGGTGACCCAAGGGCACTCGTGGCAATGTGGCTGAGTGGTTAGCGTTTCAATCTCCCAATCTGCACTGTCACGGTTCGACTCCCGCTGAAGGTGTTGATAAGACCGATGTGAGCACGAAACTGCAGTCCACTGGTGCCTGGATGAGAAGAACTTTTGGGAAAGCAAAGCTATGTGAAATTCAATAGAAACGTCAATTCTACTCATATCATTGTGGGAACATTCTTCTAGCAATCCTTAAACGAAATAGGGTGAATACATTTCATATAACTCATAATTGTCTGACCCCGATTAAATCCCTTCAAGAGAAATGATGAAACTGTAGTATAGTCTTGAATAAAGAATGGGATTTTTAGTGTATGACGAAACAAAAGCCTCAAAGTTGGCATACTTTGGCAAAATGTACTTACTTCTTTCTGTGAGAAAAACACGCCACAAATAATAAATTTATAGAAATTCTCGCAAAAGTGTATATCTGTGAAATGATACAAGTAATTTATTCGACGATCTGTATTCAGGATTGTATGTCTAACACTAAATCACACTCCATTCAGATCGTTATTAATACAAAGCTATTTAATGCAGACCTTTTAAGCGGAAGGGCTAACAGCTTAGTTATTGGTAGTTATGGGAACTTTTTAGAGCCACCACATTTTATAGGTTCCTTTTTGAGTATCACTATTAAATAACTGCTTCCTCTTTAATATGATATGTATTCACACTATTTCGTCTAAGGTGATGAAGGACTAGTTGTAGAAATTTTCTCACAATCATATGAGTTGAGCTGACGTTTCTATTGAATTTCACATAGCATTGCTTTCCCAAAAGTTCGACTTCCGCTGAGGGTGTTGATAAGACCAATGCGAGGTCGAAACTGCAGTCCACTTTTGTGTGGATGAGAACAACTTTTGGGAAAGCAGGGCAATGTGAAATTGAATGGAAACATCATCTCTACTCATATGATTGTAGGAAAATTCTTCTACCAGTCCTTCATCACCTTAAACGAAATTGGGCGAATACATTTCATATTAGTGATTTACTGGTAGTCTCGAATCGCTATTCTAATGTTTCCTCTTTGTTGGGCTATGGGAGAAATGAGTCAACGAGCTTTCATTTTGGCCCTTGAGTGCGTCCCCATGAAATGGATATTGTTGTCTTGACGCAATTGTCCCTTGAAATGGTCAATTACGAGCTTCAGTTGATCGCGTCAACCGAACCCGTCTGTGGATTGCACAGAAACAAGATCATTGCCCTGCCCTCCGGTCTGATGTACCGGCGATTGGTACGAGCACAGTCGCGTTCGTACCGGCCCCATTCACAGCCGGGTAGAGTGGGTAGCCGAGACGCAGGGCTCCTGTTGCTCAAACCTGCCAGCAAGAGTCTTCAGTCCGATACAAACGACGTGGAAAGTGGCATCTTGCCCTGTCGACTTGGCATCAAACACACGTGTCTTCCCTAACGATAACAGCCTTTACACATTTATGTTTATCCTTATTTTGCATGTATGAAATAGGGCAAGGTAAAGCAATTGAGAACCATAGTCA